ATGTGTCCAGTGAGATATTTTACTAATGGACCAACAACTGACACAGACAGCTGCACAATTGTCCACCCTTCGTGTCTGTTGTTGATCAAACCAGATTAGTAAAGGAGAGAAATGATGGGTAACTGGTGTGGGCAGCACTCGCAGGTCTTTCTGTCTACACTAGTTTAAACTTTTCTCATCAAATCCTGTTTGGTTCTTGATGTGGCTGACATAGGCCTAATCAGTGCCAGAATGTCACATCAGAGCTTGTCATGATGTCCAGCTTTTAAATAGCTTAGCATGTTTTTTTTCTTCTTCTTCTAAATTTACTGTCAAAGACAAGTAAATAAATAGTTGTATCTGCAAAGCTGATAGTAAGAACACCTAAAAAGATGTCACAGTCCAAAAATGACTACCAACATGCCTCTACTCTCAAAGTTCTCTGCAAGAAGGCTGTTATTCTTTGACAGCCTAGAGATGGAGTGATGAACTTCTCCCCATCAGGGCCACAGATGGCGTAGGTCTTAAAATGACTGCTGAAGCCACACATCACTCTGTCAACATCAGCAACGCTTATCTGGATGAAGGCATACAATTACTTTGTTACTAGCAGATGATTTGTGTGGGACATGAAGGCATTGCTTTAAGGTTTCTGCAGGTCAACGATGAAATGCTGGCAACAAATGAGCTGAAGGTCTTTTTTTATGAAAACAAATCAGTGTTCATCATCATGTGAAATGAAAACACTGTTATATGAAGTTTGCTCCCAGCAAAAGGTGTTAAATTTGTTTTTATTTTTTTAAGTCAGACAAATCTTCAGGAGCCTGATGACAGAATGATATAGTTGGTATAGACTAAATGAGTTATGTGTCAGAGTTCAGGTTTTTGGATTCAGAATTCAGCCAGACAACAAGAGTGTAAAAACAAGAAAACAGATTTATTGATATTCAGCTGCTGGAGTGAGTCAGGACTCGGGATCCAGCTGCGGTGACAGGTCCTCACAAGCAGGAGGGAGAGAGCCACCTGTCAGAGTTTCTCAAGCAGGTGAGATGAGGGCCACCTGTTGGAGCTGGGCACTATCACTCGGTGAAATGCAGCTGCAAGGCAGAGCTGAGGAGAGTGTGGTCGGAGGAGAAAAATCCAAGAACAAGTTCCAGAACACAGGTGGAGATCATACACAGGGAGTCAGAGTGCCAATAACAAGTCCAAAAGGGTCAGAAATTTGTAGGAAGAAGAAGTACTTGAAACCAGGGTCAGATGGGCAGACACAATCAGGCGAGGAGCAGGCAGAGCAGTAAATCCTAATGATGAGGCGTGAGGTCGAAATCCAAAGATCAAGGCGTGAACGTCAGGCGTGAACAAGAACAAGAGCAAGATGGCTGGATAATCAGAAATATGAAGTGTACGATAATCTGGCAGGGAATTAGAGTGAGCATGGGTCTTATATAGGGCAGGTAACAGATGTCCGGCATGAGCGCTGATTAGGCTGAACGTAGAGAGTAGGCGTGGTTGGATGACAGGAGCAGAAAACATGACATGAAGGGCTGTGAGCGAGGCAGGGGACAGAGGATGTGATCATGACTTTATTTTTAAGAATATAAAACATTGTTCTCAAAGGCAGCAGGACACTAATGTTTTGCTCGTGTATCTGTGTTAATTTGACTGTAGCATGAGCAGGTATCTCATGAACAAGATGGCAGATTTCAATAAAACTCTCAGAAAGTAATCATTGGAAGTAGGGATGCATGATATTGGATTTTTGGCCAATATTCGATATGACAATATGTTAAAACTTAGTTGGCCAATAACCGATACCAATGCCGATTTTAAAAAATCACTAGACCTACCTACAGAGAATACATAGCTTTCTCTGCTGTGGAATTAAAATACTACATTATTCTGCATGGTCTTTGTCAAATTGGCCTGCTACCAAATGCAGATGCCAAAAAAAGGGTCTGAAAATGATGTAACACTTTATAAATATATAATATATATATATTTATTTTTTTTAAACCAGTGCCTTTTATATTGGTGAATTATTTTTGATGAAATGGCCAATGTCCTATGTTTAGCTCTATCGCTAATATCGGCTGATACCAATACCATGCCGATAATATCATGCATCTCTAATTAGAAGCTCATCTACAGCTGACTAACGTTTGGAAACACCCAACTCAAGATGGCCGCCTTAGCTAAGTAGTCTTGGCAAACACAAAAATGGTAATAACTATGCCAATTTTACAGATATTGAGCTAAAATTTAGTGAGGTCGTAACTGAAGAGTCATTGCCAACACACAGTAGGAGCACTACGCTTTATGGAACATCTGTGCTTAAACTTTGGCAGTAACTGTCAGTCGGCCCTCTCTGTTAGCAATTTATCTCATAAAACACTGAACAAGTTTTGATAAAACATCCTCCACATACTCCAACTATATGTATCTACGTAGATTTTGCTAAATTGTATGACATTGTGCATAACGTCATTTTCATGGGTTGCCATAAGAGCTACTACTCTGTTATTTCTCATCATAAAATGGTCTTGGTCTAAAACTCTGGCAAGAAAAGCTGCATGCAATATGTATTCCTTCAAGAAATTTGAGGCCTTCAGTTTGTGACATCTTTCCCCATTTTGCACCTTATCAGCCGTTGTACTCCATACACTATGTTACCACATGAATGGATGTGATCCTTTTCCACAATGCCAGCATCACCTTCACTGAACTGGACTTTGTCATGGGAATATTGTTGTTTTTACATAAACTTCAGCAGAAACTAGATCTTTTCAATCCACCGCTATGACCATCACATGGAAGCATCATGCACGGACACGCATATGGACACACAAGCATGCACCCTTCTGCTCTCACTCACATTTGCACATGTCACACATTTGAAACAACCTTTGCACTTGTTTAGTCACACACTCTCATACACAAGCGCATACACACACAGTGTATCCCAGCACTCTGGATTAGGGGTACAGATTAGAGATTAGGGCCAGCGGTTGGATTATACAGCACTCTCCCTCCCCTCCTCCACCTCAGGCACCGTCGGCCCTATCATATACACTAGAAATGCAACACATACCCTGACAAACACACACAATCAGGATTTTATATCACTAATGTCCATTTTTTAAAAGGCATCCTTAAAACGATGCCAACTTTTAAGATTTTTCACTTTTCTATCATTCATCCTTGGGGGTAAGTAGACTCCATTTTAAATTCTCCACTTTTTCCCCCTTCAGTTTCCCTCTCCTTCAGTAAAATACAAAAGCAAAACTATTTTTATGTTATCACTATCTCCTGATGCATTTTCTCTCCTGGCATACTCTTCCTCTCTTAACACCTCATTTGCAGCTACTATCACATCATTTTTTTTCAATTGCCCAGTTTTGTCTGGACGTCGCCCCTAAGCCCCATATGGGCAGAATATAAACAATATCCATCAACGAGATGCGAGTGAAATGAAAACATACAACGGGAATGGGTAAAGTCAGGTGTTTGGAGCTGCAGAAGGACCTTGAGGATAGATGACTGTATCTTACAAGCGATCTGCTTCCTACAGTAGATGGAGTGTTTAGAAGATGTGGGTGAGGAGTGCCTGAGGACTGTGCTGAAATGGTTTATTGATTGCTGATTCACTATCTTGATTCCTGGATTTCTACCTGGATGGTTGGAACCTCCTGTAGGGTCACACTCTATTTCAGGGTGAACATGATAAAAACAAAGTGTGTTTTCAAAATGCATAACCTAACATGCACAAGAAGTATGAAAAGATCTCCAAGGATTACAGTCTTTGTACTGTATAGTATTACATAAAGTGTGCAGCATTAACAGCGGGAATCAAACAAAAAGATTAACTCGTAGGAACGCTTGCAGCAAGTTTTAGATGTAAATCACATAACAATTTGTCATCAAATATCAGGAACTGTCAGCATTTCCTGCCACACCAGTGACGCCTAAATAAACCAGTATGGTGTGTGCAAGTGTGCATGAGTGTGTGTTTTTCAACAATGCCATTTATAGATAAAGTTTAATGTCAACTCAACAGACGTCGAACAGAATCTACAGACTTTAGCAGAGCATAGAGAAGCTTAGCGTGAAGCTTAGTATCTGTTGACATTGCTGGCACGCAACGAGGCTGCCAAAGGCATGGTATCTAGATTAGTCAAGAAACTGACTTGGTTGTAGCTTCGTTTTATCAGCATATAAAACAATAATGGCACTAATAACTACTCGCTTTCCTGCATTGATTTTGCAATGAAACTCTTAAGTATTTATAGGATGCACACCTACAACTAATTAACTTTTGTGGTCAGCCTGATTCACGGACTGCCACGACCAAGTGACTTTAAAAAACAAAAAAAATGACCATAACTGAGTCGGTTATAAAGGTATAGACCCAAAATTTGGTGCGGCAATAGCTGAGACTGATTTCTAACATATTCTGAGCATTAACAGATTGCACAAACATTTTGTTTTACATTATGCTGACAACTATGTCAACTTTGTCTTTCAGCAAAATACCTCAACTACTTGACAGATTTTATTAAATCTTTGAGGAAAAGTTTTTCTTGAATTTACCTCTACAATTCATTAATTGTTAAAGCCAACCCAATTCCCATGTTCCCATGTTGTTTGGACTGCTGTTTAACTGTTTACTTAATTAGTGTTTTAGCGTTTATCTTATATCTCTAACGTATTGTTTAGCATTCATTTAGCGTATTATTACTTATATACTGCTTCTTTTGTACTTTATATTTTTGCTATTTTTGGGTGTAACTGGGACCTTGAGTACGCAGATTCATTCCACCTCATGGCCATATTTGGTGCAAGTGACAATAAAGATACTTGAATTTTGAACCTTGAATTCAAGATAAATGCCACAGCAGCCGAACTTCGAAAACACAAATCTGGCAATAACTCAATAAAAGTTACATATAATGAGCTAAAATTGAATGTGAGTGGAATCAACAATCATTTACACTTTTTCTTTTTCTTCTTTTTGTTAGGTGAATGCCGTGATGCCATTTGGATGCCTTGCCCTGCGAGATGGGCGAACCTATTGCAACATATCTGACGTCACAGACAAATATGAGTTTGGACAAGTCCTTCGAGCGTAAGTGTCTTAAAACTTCATGCATGCGTTTCAGATTTTCTGTTCTGGCACCCCTATTTACAAATAATTTATTAGTTTTAAATTTTCAAGTGCTTTATTAACTTTGCAAATTGTGTAAAATTAATCTGAACTCTTTTCCCTGCACTTATTGTTTAGCTTTTCTTGAAAATAGCGTTGTTGGTTGTTTTTTTCCCCATTTAATAGTCATTTTTTAATAATAATCTACATCGCTTGATCATGTCTGTCCATTTAATACAATTTCCAAGGCGTTTGTTTCTTTTTCGCAGTTTTTAACATTTTTAATACAATTTTCATGCAGAGGTCTGTGATAACCATCATTGCTGGGTGAAAATGTATAATTTCTTTCTCCAGAACACCACAGCTCAAAAGACACACACATGCACACACAGACCATATGCACAAATACCAATTGGTGTAAGAGGCCATATGGCAACAACAACATCTGGCCTCAGAGGTTTTTGCTAAGAATTTACATAACACACACACACACAATGAAGAAAACATGAGATCAGAAAAAAAGTACAAACATTCATCTCTCACGTGCACTTCTTCAACAATTATTGAAGGTGTTACAGCTGCAGCGAAGTAAATAAAAAATGATTAACTATGTGTGTAAAAAAGCTTCCTGATCTTTTTTCTGTGCTGTAAGTGTTTTAACATTAATGAAACAAGCCAGTTTAAATGAAAAATATTAATGCTGGACAATAAAAAATCACTAATTATACATTTTTTTTGTAAGTATATTTGTTCATTAAGAAATATTTCTGTGTAACCTTTCTTAATACTGATTCTTTAAATCCATTTGCATGAAGTACAATTTGCCTCAGAGGCTAAAGAAGCTGATGACGCCCCGTAGATTTTTATTTACAGTCTATTTATTCAACCCAGCCGCTCACCTTCCAATTAAATTCTTTCACTATATTTCACCAGCCCAGCCAGTGTTCTGAATCTTCCTAATTTGAATATTATTCCTCATCTCTCTTGGGTCATTCTTGTCAGATGTGATTAAAAAAAACAGCCAAGCATGGTTTTTATGCTTCACTTAAACACACAGTTACCTTTTCATCCGTCATCTGACACATTATTTATCTTTTTTCCTCTCAGTCTGTCTATTTTCTTTTTTATTTCTTTCTGTGTAGGAAGGAGTTCTGCGAGCTGTGCCTGGCAAAGGACAGACAAACACAAAAGGTGTTTGTCTGCAAGAAATTCCTCAAGAAAGATGGCAAGAAAGTCCGCAAGGCTGCCAAGAACGAAATCATGATCTTGAAACTGTACGTAATTGGCCCGTAAACATTTGGAGAAATGAAAAAGTCTGAAAATAGAACAATAAAAAAAAAATGATGTATTCAAATTTCTAAATTTGAAAGGAACTGTAACAAATTTGCATGTGAAACCCTGTAGTCTGAAAAATCTGAATAATTTCTGCTCCAGGCTCAATCACCCAAACATCCTCCAGCTGATAGACACATTTGAGACCCGGAAAGAATACTTCATCATCCAGGAACTGTGAGTGTAGTTTTTTTATTTATTTTTTTTACATTTCCCTTTTCTGTAAAATCATTCTTTGACAATGCATATATTTGTGCCTCTGTGCATCTTAACACTCACACAAATAAACCCATCATTTCAGAGGTGGGAATTGAATCTTTCCACTTATTACTGTGTGCTCTGGTTCTCCCCTCAGCAACAGAGGAAGGTGTTAGGTTTGATGAGATATTTGCTCTCAGTAACACTCAACATTACTCAGTGGCCCTGAAGCATTGCTTTGCAATGGGAGACCTGGAACGAGGAGCTTGAAATCGATTTGCCGGAGCACGGCAAATATGCATCGCTTGTGACTCGTGCAATTCAACATTTGTAACTTTGTTTAAAAGCAATAACATGGACAAAAACGATGAGCACAAAGCATTTCCATTACTGAAACACCGGGAAGAGAACTTTACTCAAAGTGACGGCAGTCGTCAGGCGGCTAACGTGTAGCTCACAGCTCGGCCTGGGCAATAGTCATTCTATTGAGAGCAATATATGTGATAATCGCTCCCGTTGTTTGTCTCCAAAGTCAACGAAGTCTTAAAGAGTAATACCCAGCGCACTTTCTTTAACTGATCAGCTGTGCTAGGACTGGGGCAGTGAAAGCAACACACAAACAAACAAAAGAGCAACAACTTTGATGCAACAAGAAATTTTGTCGTGTTAAAAAATAACACTGACATACAGTGTGCAATTATGTGCAGCGCCACAGGAGGAGATGTGTTCGACTGGATTCTAGACCAAGGGAACTACACAGAGAGAGACGCTTCCAATGTGATCAAACAAGTTCTTGAGGCCGTGGCGTACTTACACTCCCTCAACATTGTTCACAGGAACCTTAAGGTACAACTGCACTGACTATCCACCACCACATCATATTAGGTGTGTGTATGCAAATATGTTTCACCTGGAAAGTACAAACTGGGGAGTTCATTAAAACAAATAAATAAAACTGTGTTAATCCCAAAGGGAAATGAAATGTTATTGTAACTCATTATCCTCGTTTCATTAAGAAATGTCATCGATACTGATGGCTGTAGGCAGGAAGGATCTCTCGTAAAGGTCCGTCCACAGCGGATCCAAAGAAACTGGCTGCAGATGCTGTCTGATCCATCCACCCAGACTCAGCTGACCTCTCGGTTCCTCCAGTCAGCAGGACCAACTGAATGCCGTGCAGAACTCCTCCCAGAGCGATGGTCGCTCCTCCCAGCAGCCTGCCGAGCTCCTTGTCGCTGCGAACAGCTGTCTGCAGATGCCAGGGGATGATCCCAGTCCTTCTGCTGTCACAAACTGTGGTTCCTGCTAGTTCCAGGATCTCAGTGGTCAGACAATTGAGCACATCCGGCAAGGAGACGGGAATGCATCTGCGGCACCTCCTTTTAAACTCATTTGAGATTTGGGGCTGTGGCTGATATATTATTTGAGCTTTTAAGATGTTAATCAGCTGCTCCTGGTTGTTAAAAAAAACACCTTGTTGTCATGGTTACGCATCATAACAAATGTCCAAAACTAGAAAAGTTTCAGTAAAAATCCTTCCAGCTACACAGCATCTGATGCCAGAGGAAATAATCATCTAAAAAAAATGTGATTTACATCCAGCAAAAGATGAATTAAAGTTTCCAAAAGCAATATCTCAGAATAGATGTAACGTACTCCAACATGCAGCCACTCCGAGCGGCGCAATTCAAGAACATCTCCCACAGAGACGTGAAGTTCTCGTGGCTAGACTTTTTTATGTTTAAGACTTGGAGTCATGGTAGAGCAGGGAGAAAGAAAAGGTGTTATTTTGAAGAAGTACAGTAATCCCTATGCGGATAAGAGACGAGGTGTGGCACCTACGTTTGTGCTTTTGTGTGTATACACTAAAATGTGTGTCTTTGTGGTGAGATTTGAATAAACTAATGGCCTACCTGTAGAATTATAAAAGGAAGAGAAATAAACAACTTTTTACTGTGACTTCACCTCTTCATCATCCCTTCCCAGAGAGCAATATTGAACATTTAGTCCACAGATTCTCTGTGGAGTGTGGAGACATATGGAAGCATTTCTCTGCTATCTGAATTATTAACTGAGTACTTGACTTTTACTTTGGGAGTAAACATGGTCTTAATGGCTTGGAACAATCTATGATACTCATGCTTGCAAACAAATGTATAAGTTTATCCCTCATTCTGAATCCATTAAAAGGGAACAACAGTATAACTTTGCCTTCAGACTCCACCTGCTGGTAGAAGGTAGAAATACATAGGATGGGACTTGTACAGCTTGTCCTAAAAACTTCAGTTACAGTCAGAGTCAGAGTCAGAGTTTCTTTATTGTCATTCGCACCTCATGTGGTACATGTGGTGGAGCGAAATTATGTACACAGGGTCCCAGTTACATCCAACAATAAAATGTATAAGAAAAACAGTAATAACATCTAAGATATGAACTAAGAAAAACATCAACTAAATATACACTAAGCACTCATAACATAAAAACATTGAACATCAGCACAAACATGAACATGAGTCTGTGAGCAGATGTGCACGCATGAACACATCAACATTGAAACAGATCAGCAGCAACATGAAACAGATCAGCAGCAACATGATATGGTTTTTCACAGTGATTATTCTGGTTAGAGATTCATGAGTCTAACAGCCTCAGGGTAGAAGCTGTTCCTCAGTCTAGTGGTTCTACATTTAATGCTCCTTAACCTCCTTCCTGAGGGGAGTGGGGCAAAAAGTGTGTGTGCTGGGTGAGTGGGGTCCTTCATGATGCTGGTGGCCCTCTTCCTGCATCTGGAGGTGTAGATGTCTGTGATGGTGGGGAGGCTGATTCCAACAGATTTCTGTGCAGCCTTCACCACTCTCTGCAAAGCTTTTCTTTCTGCAGCTGTGCAGCCTCCATGCCACACATTGATGCTCGAGCACAGGATGCTCTCCACTGCACACCTGTAGAAGGAGGTGAGGACTGAGCTTCCCAGACCAGCTCGCCTCAGCCGTCTGAGGAAGTAGAGTCTCTTACAGTGACACATACTGTGAGATTTGGGTTCAGTTCAAGAGGTTCCTAGATAAAAAGACAATTGTACTGCTTTGTTTTCATCACTAACCTACATGGTTTAACAGTAATTTAGCAATAGGATATTCAATAGTGCCACAATTATCAACCTGAACATGATTACAGTGTATTAGCTATGGTATGGTTTGCTTACTGTGTGTGCTAGGTTTAAAATATTTTAATCATCTATGACATTGTATATTAAAATAATTTGTTCTTCTCTATCAACGTATTGATGCAAAATATAAATCTGTCAAGAAAGTTCATTTTATTTACATGTTTAAGAATTAATAGACTCCAACATGAAACACTTCAATATGTTTGAACATGCATAATAGCATCAAGAAATGACATTCCATATAAAAGGTATTTTTGACTTATGCGTCATTAAAAAAAGAACATTTGACAGTGAATCTATCTGTATGGATGAAAGTTTTGATTTTTACAGCTATTTGTCTAGCAAAAAATGAAATTGTGGCTTATTCTCAGGAGATAGTTGTTCTTAAATTATTCTGTAAAAATCACTTGGATCAGGCATTTCAGGACTCTCTTGTAAATAAGTCCCCATGGCTCAGTGGAACTAACCTGTACAAATAAAGGTGGAATTAATTTTTTTTTTTCATAATTATCAGTCAGGTTTTGATATTGTTTTGCCAAAATTATTTATCATTATTCTATCTTTCTCCAGCTGCTAGACTGTTCAAAAATTTTGTGCATATTCCATCTGTTGAGAAACCTTACAGCATTTAAAAGCAACAATATTTTAAATTTTTTTTTACCATTTCTATTTCCATTTTACTTTTCAAAAAGAAAAAAAATACAATATGAAAATTAAGGACTGAAATCTTAAATATCCTATTAACTGTGTGGCAATGTCTGTTTTGTTCAAATAAAAGTGATAACTGGCTGCAGTTTTCATATGTTATTTTGCCAATCCGTATCAATTAATTTCTATAAATCTTTTTATCACGTTTGTAACAAATGTTTTTTTTTCTTCCTTTTTTCTTTTCCCTTTAGCTTGAAAACCTGATGTACTACACAGAAAACAATCACAACAGAGTAGTTCTGCGAGACTTTTACCTCTCCAGGTTTGAGAACGGCCCGATTACAGAGCCCTGCGGAACACCCGAATACTTAGGTGGGTTACACTTCATCTATGTGGGCTTTTGGTTTTCATTCATTTAGCATTTCTTATAGTTTCTTGCATTTTACTAATACTTTCACTTTCTGTTGTGCATCTAAACTCAGGGCAATATTTTGCCTTTTTGATGTCTGTACTTTTTGTGCTCTTGAAGATGACAATCTGACAAAAACTCTTACAGTGAAACATAAAGCCCTGAAAAACATAAATAGGACTGAAAGCATTCAGCACTTGCCCTGCGCCTCCTGTTTATCCTCTCTTTTCATCTGCTCTTTGATTCTGTGTATTGCCTCAGTCCTCTCTGTCTTTCTGAGGTTTATGTGAGGGCAATCTGAAGTGCAGAGCTGTGCTTTGGCCATGGTTCTCTGCAGTTTAAGACCAGTGCAATCATTCATAATGCTGGGCTAGGTAATGAAATCAGTAAATAATGAAAAGGAATAGAGTCACTGATGGGAAGAGGGAGGAGAAGCTAAAATGAGAGCTTCAGATGAAAGTTGTCCGAGTAGTTTTATATTCTATGCTGTGAAAGTGTCTATTAAAACCAAGAATTTATTTGTATTTCACATATTCAGGAGCATTTCACATATACAGTGTGGCTGTGGCTGAGTGGTTAGAGCAGCCAGCCTCCAATACAAAAGCTGGGGGTTCGATTCCACCAGCAGTCCGTGCCAAAGTGTCCATGGGCAAGACACCGAACCCCTCATTGCCTCTGATGTGTGTTCCATCGGTGTAGGGGAGTGGTGGTGCAGAGGTTAGAGAAGATGGGCCTGTGATAGGAAAGTCACAGGTTCAACACTGACAATATCAGAATGTGGGTGGGATAGGTGAAGCACCCACACCAGCCTCCACCCTCTTTTGCCCCACTCTGAGCCCTTGAGCAAAGCCCTTAGGCCCCACCATTTGCTCCCAAAAACAGGTTTCTCTTGAAAATGAGTTCTCGTGACTCATTGAGACTACCTGTATAAATAAAGGGTAAATGAAAAAAAAAGAATGTGATGAAGCACTGATTATTCTTTGTACAGAAATAGTAGAGTCCTGTATGAATGGGTAAATGAGGGCACAGATTGTAGTGTAAAGCACTTTGAGTGTCTTGATAAGATAGAAAAGCGATATAGAAGTGCAATCCATTTACATATATTTCTTTTTGTTGCATCGACTGAACTCTTTGCCATCAGCTCCAGAAGTGGTGGCTCGACACCGATACGGTCGTCCGGTGGACTGCTGGGCTGTGGGTGTGATCATGTACATACTGTGAGTGTCCACATTTAATTTCAAAAACTACATTTCAGCTAACAGTACAATATGTTCTAAGCTGCTTAAAACTTACAACGTAACAGATTCATGCATACAAAGTACATAATTTCTAGAAGTGTGCTTTGTGTTAATATAATCACCCTTTTATTTTTTGTGCTTCGTTTTTTATTTGTTTGTTTTGCAGCTTATCGGGTAATCCTCCTTTTTATGATGAAACTGAAGAAGAGAACACAGATCTACATAATCGCATCATCTTTTGTCGCATTGTTGCTGGAGACTTTGAGTTTGACTCTCCTTACTGGGATGACATTTCCCCTGCAGGTGTTTCTCTCCACCACTCGATGGCACTAAACACCCACTGCTACTTTCTGACATTAAAATTTTATTTCACTGCCTGATTCATTGTGTTTATATAACATCCCTCTCATTTTTAATTTATTTAAAAAAATTAAGCATCTGTTTATTTATCACCATAAATGACATCTTTTACTTTTTGTGCTCTTTGTCTTTCAGCTAAGGAGCTTGTGTGTCGACTTATGGAAGTGGACCAGATGCTGAGAGTCACAGCACAAGATGCACTTCAACATGAATGGTAGTTGTGTGTATATATTCACAACTTGTTGCACACACCTGGGCTTTTCTTTACTGTCCCACTGTCTTTGACCAGGATTGCAGGGAATGGTGCATCAGAGAAGAACTTAAAGGACGGTGTGTGTGCCCAATTTGAAAAGAACTTTGCCAAGGCCAAATGGCGGGTATGAGCTCTTTTTATTTCTTGCAGCACAATGAAATTTAGTAAATGCACTGAAATGAGCAGCAAAGTAAATGGAGGAGCAAGCTTTTTGCTTGGAAATTAATGTAATTGAAGCTTATTGCACAACTCTGCAGAGGTATGATTTAAATTAGCAAGCGATGCAATTAAATGCATAACGGGATAGACAATATTGACAATTAGGAAGAAGAAAAAAGATGCTGATCTTCAGTGAGAGTAACAGATGTAAACCTCTTCTCTCTTTCTCCATGTGATCCCAGGAGTTGAAGGTATTGTTGTTTTGTTATGAGTGAGAATGAAAGGACAGAGCATGAGATTAAAAACTCTCATTCAGTCTGGCATGATTAAACCACACATTTGTTTTAAATAAGGAACAATATTTTTTATTTAAATAGGGGTTCTTATTGGTAAAGTTAGCAAATCAGAATCGCTGACAACTTTGAAGTGCATCGATCATGGCGAGGCTGTTCAGGTTCTTCTCAAGCTCTGTTCCAGCTCATTGTCACTCTGTCTGTCTCAAACAGAGATCCATCTACTCCGTCCCACTTTTCTTCATTGGATTAGATCCAGATGATCAACGTGGCCTGCTCTGCACCTTTCTTTCTCCTCATCTGCACTAGTTTCTGTAACTCGACTAACAGAAAACATATAACAATTAGCAAGAGGAACCAAGTGCTGTTCTGTATTTGCATCAGTGTAGATAAGGAGAAGGAGAAATGGAAAGGAAATGAAGGCTGTTGGCCACTGTTGACTGTTGAACTGCAGTGATTTGGACTGTAAGGCCCTCTAGCATTCCTCTTACACAAATCCTGGCTCATTGTCCCATACTGTTGTTGCATTCAGCTCACACAAATAGAAGCTCTTCAGTTAAGCCATTGTGTATTTAGTGGGTTTCATTTTCAGTGAATTCAAGGGAATTCAACTCCCTGGTTTAGAAACAATTGCCAAGCTCTCACATCTCTATAACTCCTCCAGTGCTTGTAGACTAAAAGTAATCAGATTACTGTAACTCAAACAGGACATCCACATGTACAGTATATGTTTATCTTTTGCAATCAGCAAGTAGTCAAGGAGTTCCTGGAGAACAGTGAGTCTTGAGATTGATTTAAACCAGGGTATATAATATATTATACTCTCCTGATGGTAAACAACTGACACTAACATTTCTTTGCTCCACAGAAATTGCACCTCAGTGCTTGTGGTGCTAAACCATGGTGCTTGAACATGCAATTTGTCCAACACTTGTCTCTAAAGTTTGTTCATTATGTATACTGCATTAACTCTGTCGTCTTTACCTTGTTTTTGCTTTATCTCCTAATTACAGAAAGCAATCCGTGTAACCACCTTCATGCAACGACTGAAGAACTCTGAGGCACTAAATGACAGCTCAGCTGAAGTTCAGGGCATTGAAGGACGCATTTCACAGTGGACAAGTGATGAGGGAGAAAAAGGCACAACTGATGAGGGGGTCACATCAAGCAGCGTGTCTTTAGAGGTTACTGTTGAAAGTGCACAAGTGGGTACATACCAGGATGAGAGCACCATTAAAGTAGAGGAAATACCAGAAGAAGTAAACAAGGCTACAGGCCCATCTGTAGGAATTTCTCCATCAGATATTCAGGAGCCTCTCAGCCAATCAAATTCAGCCCCTAGACCTGCACAAGAGGAGCTTGGTAAGCCAAGTGTAAAAAAGGGAGCAGGGGATGGAACCAGAAGAATGGCTGCCAATTTAGGTCAAAATAAAGAAATACCAGAGGCCAAACATACCCCCGAACACTCAAAGCTGTTAGAAAGCTCTTCAGGCACAGATGTGAATAAAAAACATGCATTCACTTCTCCTGAGCCCAAAAGCAAACAGAAGATGGCTGCAACCCTTCACAGTCCTCCCTCTGCATCGTCTGTTATTGCAACATGCTCGCCAGAGAAAAGACCAGCTACCAAAAGTCTACAGAAGGATGAAACCGATGGAAGCTGGTGTCAGACACAAGTGCCTGAAGAAATGGCAGAAAGGTCAGTGGGAGCTCCAGTTACTTCAGCAGTGGAGCAGGAGACTGGGGTGGAAACAGGAATGGGAGTTAGGTTAAGGGGTGATGCTAGCCCTGTAAGTAGAAGAGATAGGAATGTCAAAAGAACAGACAGGCACAGTGCTGAGGTAAGCATGACCAGAACAGCTGTTTCTCCAGGACCAGGGTGTTATACAGCAGGCAGCTCTGCTAGTTTGGGTCGTCATGCCACACCGTACAATCCAGAATCAGTGACTGTGGGGATGGGGATAGCAGGGAGCTATGGGAGTCCATATAGTTCTTTGTATACAAGCGGAGGAGGGGTAGGGATGTATGGGACTGGTCTACATCACGGAGGAGGTGGGAGCAGTGCTGCAAGTGACTGGCAAATGGACAGTGTGATTGAACAGATTGAAAAGCAAATGGTTGCAGTGCTTGAGAAGATTGAAGGAGACATGCCATCGCTGCTTGAGCAAATAAGTGACTGTCCTGCTGAACCAATGCGTGCCAGGAGCGCACATGCCTCTCCTGCCACCTCTCGCGCACGTCCAACTCAACACTCCTCTATTTCGACGACGCCTCCACCACTTCCCACTTCTCCAAGGCCTGTTCTTCCATCTTTCCCTCACCTTGGCATACCGCCTCCGTCGTATCCCCCACCGTCTCCCCCCTCACAGGCCTCACCTCAGACCCTCAGAGAGCGGGAAGACAAGGATGGACAGAGAGGTGCTGCTCATTCAGTGCAGTCACCAAAAGCTGGAATGGGCAAGGGGTTATAAGGCTAGTGTGCATGAGGCGATAAACATGCAAAACACATAAAACTCTGGATTTATCATTAAAGTAAAGAGTTTATTGACACTGTTTTGCTAAACTTTACTTGATACCCCAAATGGAGAATTATACATTATTTAATTTGAATCAGATTTTATATCAAATAACTGAGAACTCTAGACAAGTAAAAGTAAAGTGCTATCTCTGAGTGACAACAACAAACCCTGATCGTGTCCCTCAGTATCAGCCACACAATCAATCCATTTGGACACGTCCAAGCACTCAGCAGATGTTGCAATTAGCCAACACAAGTAAGAATAGTAGGATAAAGTAACAGCTAATTACAACTGTTCATAAAAAAAATGTGTTTGCATTATTGCCTACAAACTGTAAATACATACAAAAAGCTAGTTTCCTAATGAATATTTTGATCCCAAGATGTTCTTCATGTTCTGATCACCTGTTTTTAGGAAGCTTATTCCATTTTGGTAATTTTAATTTCCTTTATTTATGTAGCTGTTCGTTTTGTTTCTAAGGGTCAGAGTCATGCAGTTGTCTCGGGGTATGTGAAACTGAACTGGTCAAGTATTTACACTGGTTGCTGGAAGTTTGTTTCATGTGAAATAGATAAAATGAAACTGTCAATCAAAGTTTTGGGAAATCCTTTGCAACTGTTGAAAAGCTGGCGAAAACTGGTTTAGATGCTAGATGTTATATAAAGGCATTTAAATATTTCACAAACTTTTTTCTTTTAAATTTTTCCAAAGATCTAGCTTACGAACATTATTTTTTTCCCCCCACTGTACATACATAGGTAATGCTAATTAAAAAGTACTCTCTATTTGCTCCTTTTTATTATGTAAAAAGTTGGATTCTGTTTCATTGTTTTTGGTGTAAGTGCTATTCCAGGTTTTGTGCTCCCCCCATACTAAGAAATCATATTCACCATCTATGTAAAATGTGCTCTGTTTGCAAAGACTTCAATAAAAGTATTTAAATTAAAAAAGTGTTGAAGTTATTTTTCTTTTCCATGTTCAGGCACCACAGGTACATTCTCATAAAAAAAATACTACAAGTCCCACAAAGCTCTGCGTCAGTTTTGGATTAGTCCATCCTTGTTAGTGGACTATCTTAAACTGCTTACATTTAAAGAAACACCGTAGTAGTAGGAAACTAAATACAAATTATCTTTGAGGTATTGTTAGCGAATGTTAAAAAATAATAATTTAAGCTCCTACGGATAATAAATTCATTGTAGATATCGTTCTTCGACTCCTGTGGATCTGAGACTTGGTTCCGCTTGTAACGTGCACATGTTGCTGCTTTGCTTTGCTTTTTCACTGAAATAGAGTGAGGGGGAAACGATCTGGGAACAGCCGGGCAGGGAGACGTTCAGTGGAAAAAACTCACACAGAGAGCCCGCCAGCTCAACCAGACACACTTTTTTGTTCGCTGTCAGCGGCTTTGTAGACTTGTCACTTTGTTTCCTTGATTTCTCGTTGAAACAGATTTTTAATATTACAAATCAGGCCGAGTAATATCGGATGTGGTAAGTTCTGCATACTTGTGTTGTGTAAGCTCTCGTCTTGATAACGTTAGCCCCAGCTAGTCGGCTAATGTTAGCCGGGTAGCTAACGTAGCGGCACAAGAAGGGGGGAAAAGTCGTTGAGTGGTTGGTTAGCATAAGAGCTAACTGGACACATGCTAACAACTACGCAGTCTTTCGATCTACGTTGATGGTACACGTTAACGTCTTATGCGGTTAGCAAACTGAACCTTTTCAGCTACCAGCTCTGCTAACCAACGCTATCAAGGCACTGTCACGTAACTGTTAAATTAGCATTTACATGTTTTGTGTGCACGAAACAGTTGGTTTTTTTTTAACACCGTGTGACAAATGGCAGCCGGAAAGCTATGATTGCTGCCAAGATTAGATGCTTTCCATTTTAGCGGACGTACTGGCCTCCCAGATCACGATATTTATTATGTTTTGTACGGATAACATTACGATAGCGTGACTTATCGGTGTTAACCATAGTGTGGTCAGTTTAGCGTGTCAGGCTAGGCAGCCTGTTATCCTGACCTCATTGTTTCAGGGCTAGCAGAATAACGGAAAATAGCTTTTGTCTCATCATTTTGTATTAAAAGCATGAAATTTGGGGATCCCCTCGACACGTGTACCCAAGATTATGCGGCCCAGTCTTTTCCAGGGCCTTTGTCATTTTGCTGGGCACCCCCTCCCCCAATACTCATCTGTAAGGAATGCTCACCCCTACCCTCAACCTCAGTGCCCAGAGGCGCAGCATCCATTCATTTTTCCACTAGTCCACCCAATGTACCTGTTTAATTCACCGCTGCACCTATATAACGCTTAATAGTAATTGCTCAATTCAATATGAGGATGGCACACTGCATTTTCGAACCTCAAGCTATGTTAAAGTAGGGTTTTGTATCTTTTTTTTATTTTGTATCTTTTTTTTATGTCTTTTAATAGCATTTTGGAGTCTAGGAAGATTGTTGTGCAGTCTAGCTCAACAACAGGGTGACATCTCTATAGAGTGTTAGTTAAACAAATGTTTTTTGTTGGATTCTTATCGGTAGAGTAAGCCTTTTAACTTTATGTGGAAAGATCCTAAATTTGTTTTTCATGCACTTGTTTGACATACTAGAGATTTGTGTGTGTGTTTGTGTGTATATGCATTTGTAAGCTGTTTCTTACACTGTTGGATGCACATCAGTTCATTGTACAGTATTGTACATAGCGTATATGCGTCCCCAGGAATCGGGGGCGGGTCGATGCGCTTTAATAGCCAATCAGATGAGAGCATGGCAGATCAGTGCGCTAACACTGTATGGAAAGCGAGTTTATCATATAACAATCAAACGAGTTACATTATTCATACCTCAGTGCTTGTCAATATTAATATTTCACTTGTCCAGACAACATTCTTGATGTTCATAATCAACATTTTTATTTTCTGAAAACGTAATCTTAGAAGTAAATGCATTATATTATAAGTTCATGTGTATTGGTCATTCAGCTGTGGCTGAGTGGTTAAAGCAGTCGTCCTCCAATGTGAGATTTAGGGGTTCGATTGCACCAGCAGTCACAGGCTGAAGTGTCCTTGGGCAAGACACTGAACCCCTCAATGCCTCTGATGTGTGTCCCATCGGTGTATGAATGTGATAAAGCACTTTGTTCTTTGTATAGATCTAGTATGAATGGATAAATGAGGGCACAGGTTGTGTTGTAAAGCACTTTGAGTATCTTTATAAGATAGGAAGGGGCTACGTAAGTACAAATATGTTTTTGTCCCACATGATTTTTGACTGTCAGTTTACTAGTTGGAAAAAAATGAAATTATTCAAATCAAGTAAAATCTGATAATTTTAGTAATTTAAGAGATCCCCAAATTAAACAAGAAATTTACTTGCAGTTTAATTAATGATTTGATTACTTTTAAAGTGTAACAAGATAGACAAGATGAATATGTCCAGATGACCTGACTTAACCTTGTTAGATTTTTCTACCTGGATTATTGAGCAAGCATAAGGATACTTTTAAAGTGCTTTAAAAGTTATTTAGACAACATGCAGGATGATCACAAGCTAGAATGTATTCACAAGCTTTTAAAATATAATAATATATATTATGGGGAGATAATGAGAATTTGACCAGATGGTATTTGTAACGTAAAATAGATAAAAAATTAAAATACTTCTAGTAATAAATATTGTAAAAATGCTATTTGAAATGCAAGTTTATCTTAAGTTAAAGTCCATGCATTATCGTTACCCACATTTTCCTTTTAGGGTCACGGGTCAGTGGTGCGCATATCCAGCAATCACTGAGAGACGGGGTACACCCTGGACAGGTCGCAAGTCCATCACAGGGACACATAGACACAAACGAGACAACCATTCACACTCTCACTCACACTTAGGGACAACTAATCAGCCTAATGTACATGTTCTTGGCCTGTGGGAGGAAACCGGAGCACCAGGAGAAAACCCACACATGCACGGAGAGGACATGCAAACTCCACCAGAAAGGTCCTGGGCCGGGATTCGATCTGGCGACCTCGCTGAGAAGCGACAGCTCTTCTAACTGAGCTACTGTTAAAATTGTATTTAGGATATTAGCCATGTGAAGTAAAGATTTTTCTCCAATACATTAGTAAGGTGTGAAGCTTCAAACATTTTTCTTAAAAAAAAATGTTGACATATGTTTTCAATTGCAACTACCGGTCTTTAGAATGTAATTTTAGACTTTAAATGTGATCAATGTGGATATGAAGGCGGTATGACTAAATGTTACAACGATCTGCCTTCGGTCGACCGTTTCCTGTTGAATACTTTACCGAGACGTCACAACTCCGCCGCCCCTTTCTCCCCATCTGCCATTTTGGTTTTGTTCCCGTCTGCAGTCGCAAAGCCAGCAGCGCAACTGCATAGGAGAGGCTTTTCTGTTCAACGACATAGTGACTCGACAATATAGAGCACTCCGACCCAAACCCACGTCTCGTTTCTTTACTTGATAAAAATCGTCGAATTTGCCATCACTGTTGCTGACTTTCACACACTGCGGGAGAGGAGCGGGTTCGCTTAGGGAAGGGACCGGGAAGGATTATTGGTAAGAACACAGAAATCAATGAAGCACGAGTGTAGTGAGCTTGTCTTTTTATTTCGCTTACTTTATTCCGTTCATTGATCGAGTGAAATGAATTTTTCGTGTAGAAATGAAGAAGTAGTCGTGCTGGTGCTGTGCTCGTTGGCTGTCAAATCGCTCCTGTTTGCGAGGGTTGTGTTAAATAGCCACAGCTGCTAGCTTGTAAAGTTGTGTTCCGCACTGTGGGCCAGGCCTACACCGAGCTGCTAATGGACGGGCTGGCAGGCTGGTGTTTTCTTGCCTTTAACTTATTAATGTTCGTCCATCTTCCAAACCACTTAACTGATTATTGGCTCGCCACATGACTAATCGCTTTCCTTTTCGAGGTGTTTGACCCAAAGTCGATGTTTATTTCTTGAACGTCCAAAGCTTTAAATCGATTGCTAGCAGCGAAGGTGTTGTGAGGTTTTGAAACTACGGTAACAGCCGGTGACTTTGCTGTATCATGCTGGACGCTTTCGTTTTCAACCAGGATTGTTCTGTCTAGTTGGTTCTAATTGTTGAAGGTTTTACTCCGCGTGTTCAATCGATCTGAAGCTTTAAACCTTTTCTAGACGATGGCTCGTTTATCTGCATTTGATGCGGAAACTGGCTGAGTGTTCGTTGTGAGGTCAGTGAAGCTTTTAATTTGACATCCTACGGCC